CCGCCACGGCCAACAACCCATAACATAAGAAACAATGCCAGCACAAGTCGTGACCAAACCGCAAGAAGAGCGCCGAGATAGAGAGAGATAGAGAGAAAACAAACAAAACCAAACACAGAGAGAACAACAACAAAGAGAGAGAGAGAGAGATAGAGACAGAGAGAGAAAGAAAACGAGAGAGAAAGAGAGCTGAAAAGAGTGATAATAAAGGATAATGTAATATATTATTTGCGAAATATTCGACAATTTATCGAGGGAGGGACGAAGGACTGGAAACATATAGGGGGCAAGCGAGAGGAAAGGCGGGGCAGGGGAAGCAGAGAAAGGGGGAAAGGGGAAAAAAGGGGAAAGGGGAGAAAGAGGCAAACATAACATTGCAAAACAAACGCGACGTCGCTGAACCGCGGCAGGTGGTCAAGCACATCACGCGCAGAAACCATTGAATTTCGCAAAGAAAAACTGCAATCAGTGCCAGCAGCGCTGCGCGTATGCTGAAAAAGGAGCGTGCGTTCCGCGCGGACATCGCAATTACGGCAAAAAGCGAACATGTAACAGCGCTGTTCATCGTTTGGTCTTCACCACAACACTGGCGGGCTTGAAATTTACAAAAATAAGGTATGGGAAAATACATGCTAAAAAAACAATTCTGGAATTAAAAGAATTGCCGGACAGGCTTCCCTACAACCAACCGAGCGGGAGCAACCAGGACAATACGCTCGACAAGCGCTAACCACGGGTGGCTGGCCCCGAAGCCACCGAGAGAATGCCCCACGATCTCGCCAGGTGGCTCCGGCGCTGCCGATCCTGACGCTCGAGGGCCCGAGCCTGCTCCATAAACTCCTGACGAGCGGCCCCGTGCCGCACGAGCTCGAGCACCGCGAGACACGCCACGGTCGTCGAAACACGCGGTTTGACTCGCCCGGGAACCCCGAGCGGGACCCATGAGCTGATGGGCCACTTTTCCACCACCACGTCCTCCTGCTCTCCTCCTTCTCCTCCTCCGTCTCCTACCTGTGGTGGTGGTGGTGGAAAATTGGCGTATCATGAGCCTGTCCAATCAGCGCCACTGGAAGGGGGGGGGGACCGAAGGGCCGCCCGCGGGCTGTCTATGTCCCCGTGCCCCCCGCTCTCCTGCGCCCCGCCCTACCCTGTCCGCTCCCGACCGCCGATGCATGGAATGTGAACGCCCCCCCAGCGCCGTTCTCCTCCCCCTCCTTTTCCTCCTCATTTGCCTCCTCCTCTTTCCCCTCCCGTTCCTCCTCATTTGCCTCCTCCTCCCTCCTCGTCCTCCTCCTCCACTCCTTTTCCATACAGATAACTTCTCCCTGTCGCACCCCGAGGCCAGCTTTTAGGGCGGGTTGGGCGTTTCGCCTGAGACTTCCTCACCGTTTATGATTATGAAGCTTAAGAAGTGGCACGAGTTTCGCAGATGGAGGACAGGCCGTTTCCAACATGTGGCTCTCGCCTGAGCGCGGCGCAAATTTTTTTTCAACATTTGCAAGAGTTTCACGGATTGACGGCGCGTCGTTTTCAAAATGTGGCTCTCGCCTCAGCGCGTCGCACATTCGTATAAAAAGATTTGCAAGAGTGTCACGGATTCCTATCATCAACGTGCCAGAGATGGTGTTTTGGAAGGATTCAGGATTACGCGGGTGCAACTGTTACCTTGATTCTCTGTGTTGAAGTCCTAGGAATGGCGTTCTGGCGCGATTCAGGGTCGCCAAAACGCAACAGTCAGGTTGATCCATGGCGTTGGAATCCCGAGAACAATGTTTTGGCATGCTTCAGGGTCTTCAAACAAGTGTCTTCCAACGAGGCAATTCATTCAATGGAAATGAACCGTTGTAGGGCCCTATGAAGGAGCTTGGAGGGAGGGTTTATTCCAACATCGTTGATGACTCTTGGGTTTACACTGGTCCTCCTCCTCTTCCTCCTCCCCCTCCTCTCCCTGATACTCCTCCTCCTCCCCTTCCTCCTCCTCCTCCTCCTCCTCCTCCTCCTCCTCCTCCTCCTCCTCCGCCTTCTAAAACCACCTCCATCCCAGAGACACGACGCTGAGAGCAAACCTGCAGCATCGCGAAAAATCACGACCACAACCCTGCACACCATCCTGGCTGTTCGCTGCGAGCCGGATCGATGTGTGATGGCCCCGGGGCCCGAAACTGTGTGAAACAGAACGCCCAATCCTGAGGGACCTCCCTCCCTCCTCCCCCCTCTTGCCCTCTCTTTCGAAGAACGGACCGGTTCCATCATAATTTGGCCCCAGGAATGATGTTCCGTCGAAACTACGAGAGAAAAGGATCGTGCTCCGCAAATTTGCAGACAGTCTATTTATTTTCCGCGGAAGCGACGAACACAACATTTTGAGATGAATCAGATATAGAATCGATCCGGCCCTACTCGATGCTTGCCTCGCCCGCCCCCTGCCAGACGGCCCCCTCCCCGCCGCGACCGGAGCCGAGCTGGAGCTGCTCGAGGAGCTCGGGTAGCCCCCCGACCTCCGCGGGAGGCGCCAGGGACCGCTGGGAACACCCAGCGGCAAGCAACGGCGGACGCGGGCCAGGAGAGACAAAAAGAAAGGGAGAGAGAGAGAGATATAGACAAACAACAGAAACGGAGAGAGGAAACACTCAACACGTATATGTGGTAACGAGGAAGTAGGGGAGCTGTGGCTGCTTTTCCACGGGCACTGGACAAATCATACGACAAACATGCACTTTCTCACAGGAGCATGCCGGTGCACACGTGCCGCACTAACGCAGGCGAATGGCGCAAGGACGGAGGCGGGACCCCGCCATCGAGAGGGACCGAACGAGGTGCGAAAAGGGAGGCCGACGACGGCCTGGAGGACCGAACGAGAGGCGAGGAGAATGCCGAACCGAGGGAACGGGCCATCACATGCAACAACAACTACTCACCGTGTCCGCCGTCTACACCACTGGTTCGTTCCACTCGTTTGCCAGGTGCGCATGGCTGCGGGGACCGAAGTTCGATGGCCTCAGGCGCAGTGCGTGCACACGTCTACACCTAAACCAGCACACACTGTCCCCCGAGGGGAGGAAGAAGATATCTTCGCGTTCTCTGATGATCAAAGCTGCGAAGCTCCACCGATCATCCTGGACGTCCAACTCTGGAGGCGTCAACTCTCCAATGCGTCGATCCACGCTGGTCTCTCCACAAGCATCCCGCTGGAACCGACCCCTGAATCACTGCCGCCCTGGCGGCCCTGAAGCAGTCGAGGACGCGCGCTCATTGTTCAAGTCCTCCGAGGCAAGCGCGAGCTGGATCTGGCCCTGGCCATGGCAGCGCTAAAATCTGCACATCACGTAATTCGGCACCTCCGTGAACCCCGCTTGGATCCATTTCAGCTGCAGCCGCTGCCTTGCCCGCCTCCCTCGTCGCGAGGCTCTCGATCACCGTCGCTGCCTTCGCCGCCGCCGCGGCAGATCCCTCGGCCTTCATGGGGCTCCCCTTTTCATCTGTCCCACCTTGGAGCGTTGCCCGGCGGCGTGCTTCGCGACATCCTTCGACTCCAATTGCATGGCCTCGGCCACCGCGCTTTCCTCCTGCTGCGCGATCGCGCTCGCAGTGGCTCCCCCCGTCGCTCTCGACCTCTGCTCAAGCAGGGCCGCCTGTGTCGCCGGGAGAAACATCAACTCCTTCAGGCCGCCGCCCTTCGCCGTCAACCTCCGCCCTTTGGCCCCAGCGCGGCGTCGACCCCCGTGGCGGGTGCGAGGCATTGCCTTTGGGCCCACCGACCCCGCGCTTCCGCGCTGTATCCTCGCGCGCCCCGCTCCCTTCACCTGCGCGCGGCCATCTTGCCGCTCGCCACCGACTTGGGAGTTGGCCCCGCCGCTGGCCGACGCTTGGGGGGGGCCTGTCCTGCCTGGGCGCCATCGCCCCTGCTTGTCGACCTCCATCGACGGGCGCCACTCGGGTCGGGCGAAAGGGGGGGATAGCAAAGGGGGGGGTTGAGAATCAGCTCGCGGAGCTGATTTTCCCGGCGCCTCCCGGCGCAGGAGGCGGCCATGTATCGAGGAATGGGCCCCTCGGTGAGGCCGAAACCAGCTGCATGCAGCAAATTTCGTAAACCCCCCCTTTCCCAATCCCCCCCTTTGGCCCGGCCCGAGCCACGGGACCCCCTCGCAGCGCCCGGTCGGAGCCGGGAACCACCAGACTGGCGGGAGTGCGCACATCACTCCCCCCCGGCCCGCCCGCGGCAACCGGCATGGGAGCGGGCCCGAGTCCGAGCCCGAGACGGCGCGGTCCGTGCCCGCCGCTGCGCGACGGCCGACGTGGGCCTGCCCCCCTGCGTCGAGGGGGCAGGTGCGAGCGCAAGTGGGTGCGGAGGGCCCTGCAGGTTGAGGAGGTGGCGCGGCTCAGCATGCGGTCGCGCTCGGGCATCTGTCTGGTCGCACGTGCACGGGCACGCCGCGATGTGATTCGGACGCACACCGGCGTGCCATGACCCTGCTCGGCGCTTCAGAACTGCGCCCCTCGTCTGGCGCGCCCGGCTGCAACTGGCGCGCGCAGCGCTTGGCGTGAGTTTGTTCAAGTGCGCTGCCCCGCGCCTTCTGGCTGGCGCGACTGGCGCAACCGCTGCGCGCGCGAAAGCATTGCCCACAGATCGGTCCACCTGGGTCGGGTCTGATACAACGCGCGACGACTTCGGCAGGATCTGCTTCCATGTCATTCTACCAGTCTGAATGGCAGGCGCAGTCAATGCCGGGCAAGGCGGCTGCGCCCATATATATATATATATATATATATATACACATATATATAAACAAAAAAACACGCAGCGCAAACGCCTCTGGGCGACGGCAGTGACGGCGGTCGGCCCCCTCGCCCCTCAGAAGGTGTGGAATCGCGCCGTTTTCCCGCGCCTCCACGAATGACTACGCCTCGACGCAGCCGCGCACCAAGTCGATGTCGCCGCGAAACTGTCTCGTCCGAAGATGGACGACCGAATCCGCATTCACGATGCCGTCGCGCCACAGCGTCGGCAGGCGACAATGCCCCCCCGCCCCCCCCAAACGCACACGCGCACGCGCGCGCGTGCTGCATGTCCCCCACGCGCATCGGCGTCTAGGATGAGCGACGAAGTCAAACGAGCCGGCACGTAAGAAATGACAAAACATCAGCGATGGACCCCCCGAACAAATCCCGTCGCAGAGGGGCGTGACCCTCTAGCCCGCGCAGCGCGCGCGCCAGGCTCGGATCATCAGTAAGGGGCAAGGGGGGCCGTGGCGGAGGCGAGGTGGAGAGAAACGCCGACGCACTAAAACGCGCGGGCAGAAAGGCGCGGCAAGGCAAACAGTTGGGCCCCAGGCGTCGGCGCCACTCGGGGGCTAGCGCGCGCGAGTCATCAAGCAAAACTCGCGCAGGAAAGAGGGGCGCGCGACGAGGGGATCATCGTCGCATTATTCGCCCCCGAACAGGGCGCGATCATCCTCCCCGCGCTCGCTCGCGCAAAACCGGGCACGTGACGACTGGGCCAAGCCCCGGCGCAAGATGGACCTCTCGCGCCGCGCGCCGCGGCCGCCGACGCATCGAGGAGCCACAGAGGCGGGCGGCGCCTCCGACTCGCTCGCCCCGAGCGACGCTCAGGCGAGAAGCAAAACTCGTCTCGATAGGAACCGGCCTTTTCTGCAGAGTACCTTGAAACGATCAACGGACGGCAATCTGCTCACTGGCGGAACCCCTCCCCGAGGGGCCTCGGGGGGGGATTGAAGAGCGTTTCCAAGGCCGAGCGACGCAACTGCGACGCTGCTAGATCTGCGGCGCGCCGCCCTGGCAGGCCGCCCGAAGGAGGAGGCCTCTAGCCGAGTCCTAGAAATGCGGCCGCCTCGCGGCCTGCAGCTTCGCCATTAAAGTCTGAGTCGCAACGAAGCGCGGCCTGCGCGGGGCTCGGCGCGCGCGCGGGCGGGCGTCGAGCGCGCTTCTCCTGCGCGCAATCATTGGCGCTGCCGGCGGCGGCTGGCGCGCGACGCGGCGAGGCCGAGGTGGGGGGGGGTAGCGCGCGCGAAACAGACGGGTCTAGAATAGCGACTCGGCTCAGCAGGCGTCGCGGCGCGGGCAACTTGCACGGGGCGTCGAGCCGCGCGCTGAGCTCGTCCTCGAGCCAGCCAGGGGGCGCCGCCCCCGCGCGGGCCACGGCCGCCCCCTCGGCGCGCAGGGCGCGAAGGATCAGGTCCATCTGCGGGAAGGTCTTCATCGCAATCAGGATATTCACGTTGTTCTCGTTGCGGCACTTCTCCAGGCGCACCGTCTGGACGTGGCTTTCCAAGTCGAGCTTGCTGATGCTGGGCTGCTCCGCTTCGTCCTCGTCGCCGTCGACCGCCTAGAGCCGCTGGTTCAGCTCGCCCTCGATTGCTCCGCCCACGTCGCACCTTTCGAGCGCCTCCACCAACGCCGCCAGCAGGGAGGCTGCGGGGGACCCGAGTGTCTTGAGGCCCTCTTTGTCGTCCTGCCGTAAGCGCTCGAGCTCGTTGCGGAACACCTCCAGAGTGTCGCCGATGGCCGACGCGGCCTTGTGCTTCATGGGAAACGCCGCTGCGTCGACCGCGCGCGCCAGTGCGAGCTGGTCGCGGTTCGTCCTCTGGAGCAGCAATTTGTCCAGCGCGCAAGTGCTTGTCCTTCGAGGTCCACGACTTCTCGCCGGGCTGCCCTCGTCGGCGGCGGCGCCCGCCGCGCTCGCGACACAGCGGGCGCTGGCCCGCGCTGTCCCCCTAGCCATCCGGGCCGTCAGCAGGGGCCCCGGGAGCGGCTGCGCCCGTCGTCTTCGCCTGCTTCGCGGCGTCGGCGGGCGCGGCTGCGCTGCCGCCGTGGCCTGGCGCTTTCGAGGGCGCCGGCGCTCTGCGGGAAGCGCCGCGAGGCCCTCTGCGGGCGGACCGCTGCCGCCGTCGTCGCCGCCGGGCGCTTGCGCGGGCCAAGTCGGGGCGGCCGCGACGCCCTGGCCCCGCAAGAGGGGCGGGAGCTCGACAGGCGGTGGCGGCGGCGGCGGGCGCCGCGCGAGGCTGACGGGCCCGAGCGCGCGGTTTAACAGCAGGCGCTGGCGGTGGAGGTACCCCGCGACGAAGTAGGCGCAGAGACGCCGCTTAGCAGGCGCGGCGGGCCTCCGAAGCATCGGAAGCCTCGGGTGGCATTCCGGGCCGCTGCGCGGCCGCGGCGGGGCGGGCGGGCGCGGCGCCGCGAGCCCGAGGGGTCGGGGCGGCCGCGCAGTCCCACCAACGCCATGAGCCAACGGGCGACGGGGGGACGCGCGTCGTCAGTTGGCGTCTCAGGCCCTCGATTCCACAGAACTCACGTTTGCGCTGACTGTTGGAAGACGTGTACGAGCACGGGCGCGTGCGAGCACATGTCGGGGTCCACTCATATACATGCTGGGGTTAATGCGGAATGCATCGGCCCTGTAACCGCGATCGGCAACAACGATGAAAAACGGCGCGATCTATGTTCGAGAGAGAAGGTGGTATCGCACATCAGACGCATACTGTC